AGAATGCATTCTCACCTGGAGGACTTTCCTAATTCTTTTTAGATTGTGTATCAAGAGCAGATTTTTCTCTTTGGAAACACGACCTAACTGTTCATCCAGTTGTATTAACAAGTTTTGAAGAAGAATTGTTGCCATGGTTTCATTGTTGGAAGCCGCCTCCCTAAAAAACAAAAGTGTTATTAGTCAGCAGGAAACAACGTCCAGTAAAATGTCTACTTCTTTACCATACTAGTTTTAAAGAGAGATAAATGTATTCCACAGTGATAAGCATTTAAAAGCTTTTAAAACTTAAATTTTACACATCCAAGTATACTCAACATCACTAATCATTGGGAGATGCAAATCAAAATGTGAGCTACCATTTCATACCTATTAAATGGATGGCTATTATTGAAAACCCAAAATAACCAAGTGTTGGTGGGGATGTGGAGAAACTGGGGCCCTTGCACATTGCTGGTGGAAATGCAAAACAGGATGGAGATTTTTCAAAACATAAGCATAAATTACATACAGCAATTCCGCTTCTGGGTAGATACCCAAAAGAGTTGAAAGCAGGAATTTGAATGGATATTTGTACATCAGTGTTTGCATCAGCTTTAGCCACAATAGCCAAAAGGTAGAAACAGCTCAAATGTTGGTTGACAGATGAATAACCCAACAAAATGTGGCTTATATATACAATAGAATGTTATTCAGCCTTAAAAAGAGAAGGAAATTCTGATATATGCTACATGAATGAACCTTGAAAAACATGTGACATGACATACATCAGTCACAAAAGGACAAATATTGTGCAATTACACTTACATAAAGTACCTAGAGTAGTATATTCAGAGAGACAGAAAATAGAATGGTGGTTGATAAGTCTGGGCTACAGAGAATGAAGAGTAGTTGTTTAATGAGGACAGAGTTTCAGTTAGGGAAGATGAAAAAGTTCTGGAGATGGATGGTGGTGATAGTTGTACAGCCACATAAGTATACCGAATGCCACTAAATTGTATACCTACAAATGGTTAAAATGGTAAATGTCATGTACATTTTCTCACAATAAAAAAGAGAACTATTCAAAGCAAAAAAAAAAAAATTAACTGTACAAGGTAAACAGAGCTTTAAAGAATGACTGTAAAACATAATAAAAAATAATTATTTACATGGAGTCTGTGTTGAAAATTGATGTAAATTGGGGCGCCTGGGTGGCGCAGTCGGTTAAGTGTCCGACTTCAGCCAGGTCACGATCTCGCGGTCTGTGAGTTCGAGCCCCGCGTCGGGCTCTGGGCTGATGGCTCAGAGCCTGGAGCCTGTTTCTGATTCTGTGTCTCCCTCTCTCTCTGCCCCTCCCCTGTTCATGCTCTGTCTCTCTCTCTGTCCCAAAAATAAATAAACGTTGAAAAAAAAATTAAAAAAAAAAAAAGAAAATTGATGTAAACAATAGTTTTATTCCTTGGCTGTTTAATAGTTAGGAATTACTGGGATTGGGCTTATCAAAAAACCCAACGCACTAGAAGCATTAAATTTTCATCTACAACAGATGAAACCAGAAAAGATGATGATTTTCTTCCTCAGAGGAAGGTTTCCAAATCCTTGATGAAAAATATGCATCTACTCAGTCAAAAAAAGATCATAGAATAAATCCACATGGATAGAGCATAAGACATTTGTATATCAACCTCTAGGGAAAATACAATAATGTTTGGTCCTACCAGTCTTGATTTTCAATCCACTGAGCCAACAGATGTCGAATTTCCATAGGAAAATTGTCATCGTAGAATTGATCTACTTGCTCCAAAAATTTGATTTCTAATTGTTGGACTTGATTCCACTGAGACATGCTATAAATGAAGGGTAAAATTAAAGTTTACAAATGTTAGTAACTGTGGTACATGTGTTTTTTTCCCCTTAGATTTCAGACAAAGACGATGTTGTCCATTAGTTAAGTAACTGGTGAAAAAATTTTCTTTCATAGTCACCTTATTTAAGAAAACAGTAAAGAGAAAATGCTTTCAATCCAAAGATAAAAGCAATTCTCAGCTTTTTCCCAAGTCATCCCTAATGCACGGAACATGATTCTTTCTCTTTTCCCAAACCATGTCCTGCTTTGCTCTAACAGGAACTCCAGAACTTTCTCCAGAAAGATTTCATTCCCTGTCAACACTCCTCACCTTACCCCCATTCTGTCCTGCAAATCTGTGTTCTCAGCAAGCTCACTTGCTCCCTCTGCACTCTTGACTTTGAGCAGCCTGAGGCAAATAACATACTTAACTGCACCTTCAAAGACCTTCTTAGGGCTTTCTATATGAGGAGTACCCAATAAAAGCTTCCTGTGTGTCGAACTGCCCAGTCCTTTTTCTTTTATTTCAGATTTGTCTGGCTTCCAGAGTCAGCTTCCTATTCCCAGACTTCTGATCAAATTTGGTCTTAGCTTTTATGAAGAGCTTCATGTATGCATTTTCATGGGCTCTAATTCTTCCAGTTCAAAATATCTGTGAACCAATGCATATTTATATTTCTCTGTTTGATGATACACTATGAATGGGCAGAGCTTTTAAGGTCTACTTTTAATTCATCTCTGATGTACAACTGACAGTGGTTAAACCCTCAGGTTACTTAAGGAGGAAGAAACCACACTTGAGATGTATGTGGCAGCCCGTCACAAAACAAAAGTATGTTTCCCTATGTTATCCTACGCTGGCCAGTTTAGAAGCTTTAGACATTTCCTAACTCAGGGAGATTAATATGACTTCTTGAAGTTATAGTACTTTACTTGTTCCAAAGTCAAAGTTCTGATTGTTTTATCGGCAATTTTAGATCAAGGAACAAAACTTTTACATGATTAACCACCATAATATTTCGGCCTATCTTGTAGGTAAGTTTTCCTTTTGCTCACAGAAGGTCACGATAATAAATTTCATGTATTTCATACACATATTCCTCAGGTTTCAAATGGAACAATTCAAATTCAGATTCCCTGATCTAAATGTATAGAAGAATGTTTTTCTAAAAGAAACTGGCAAAAGAAATAATGTTTTATTTTCATATCACTTTGTGTCTTGAAGACCTTTACACGCACAATTGTAGGCACGTTGTGGGGGCTCATAAGTGCTTGTTAAGTGCAGAGTGAGTGGCAATCCTGATTTTGTCATGAATAGGGCAGGTGGATAGTAAGTTTGACCCCAACTTTAAAAATGACAAACATCTGAGGAACAAGTAGGCAAAATGACCCCTGCCTAAGATGCACAGCTCCTAAGGACGGATCTGAGGTTGTCTTTGCAGATGCTGGGCATATATACACACACCACACAAAACTGGGATGTTTGTTCCCATGCCACTGTGCCATTGTCCTGCCTCATCCCTGTTTTATTCTAGTTAATGGTGAGAGCACATGAGCTGAAAATGCCATTACAATCTGTTTTCTAACTAAGAATTAACTGGACTGAACTGACCCCAAAGTCAGAAAAATTACTCCTAGGACCGGGGTCCACCTTCCTGAGAGCTGAACTTAAGGGTTCAGCTGACCCTGAAGGGCTGAAGAAGGGAAGGATAAGGTGTGTGGTCCGGGGACCCTCTTCTCTGTTGCAGCCTCTAGAAATGCCTTTACTCATCCTTCCCTCCTTTGCTTTCACTCTCTAAGGGCTGAGTCTCCCATCGCAAGAAAATTATAGAACATTTCTTTTGAAAACTGAACGCCTCTCGATTTTCTTCAATGTCTGGCCCTAGATAAAGGGGCATTTTGTCGCGCTGTCTGGGGGCTAATAGTGCCACGCTGGCTCCGTGACACATAGCTTGCAAAGGAGATGACATGTCCGAAAATACTCCCTCTCATCAAAGCCACAGCCACTGGCCAGCCTAGCTCCAGACTTTTCTCTGAAACCCGTGTACTCAGTCTAATGTCAGACATTATAGCTCAGAGAAGCTGGTTAAGAAAGAGAAGGGGGGCTCACTTTCAGCACTCCGCGAGGACACACCTCCGCATCAGCCACCACGGTCCCTCCCGCCGTGCAGATGTGCGGGCTGAGCTCCCGAGTCTCACGCAACGCACAGACCTGCGCGGGAGCGCGTCTTTGCCTCGTGGAGTCGGACGCTGTTCAGAAGAACCCATCCTCACACCAGTTAAAGTGAAGTGAACTGTCACACCACCAAGTGCACAGCCTCGGCGGCATTCTGCATAAGCATTTCCTGACCCGCGCTCCTCCGGAGAAGCAACTCCAAGGTGTGATCTGCCTACTTACCTGGCTCTCTCAGCCCAGGTCCCAGGCGGTGCCAAAGTCCAAAGTCAGAATCGCCCCTCACAGTCCCCGGGACAAAGCCGCTGACGCCATTGTCAGTAGGGGATTTGCATTTCTCCTCCCACTTGAGGCTTTCCTGTGCGTCAGTGGTAGAGTCTCTGGGACTTTACTTGAGTCGGTTCCCACCCACTCTCTATTCTAGAAATGCTAAAGAACAGAAACAATCAGGCTGGAGCCCCTCTGTAGGGCGCCCTCTCTTTATCTCCCCCCCTCTCCCCTCCCCGGCCGCCATCATTCCTGCGACTGCAGGTGGTCTCAGGGTGTCGGAGGTGAGTGAGTAGGTGGAGTTACGCGCATTCATTTTCCTCAGGGGGGTCCCATACATCTGAGACCCCCTGCAGACTTGTCTGGAGCTAAATTCCTGGCTTCCTGGCTTCCTCCTTTGAGGCTGCACACTCACCCTGGTGAGCCAGCCCCTGGGATGGAAGGGGTGCCAGGACTGAAATATCAAACTCCTAGACTTCACTGTGCTCCAATTCCAGCAGGGTCTGCTCACTAGGAAGAAGACAACCTCAGCAAAGGTTTGGGCCAGCTCCTGTGTGGGCCACTCACGCCCACCCTCACTAGTCCAGGATTCTCCTTCCCACTTGCCAGGTAGCCCTGTTCCTGGTCACCGTGGTATGCTTTTCTCCCTTTGTGACATGGGCCTATTCTAGAATCACAGAGCTGGAGGGAGCTTTGGTCTCATCTGATTCTAACACCTCTTTCATATCTGGAGAGACTGAGACCCAGAGAGGTGACAGGAGCTATTCAATGAGTTAGCTTCTGAGCCTGGATAAGAGGCCAGGGGTTCCATTCCCTCCTTGGTGGTCTTTTTATTTCATCTTCTCCAGGCTAGATGTTAACCCTCAGCACACACGAGTTCTATGAATGTTCAGGCAAATAAAGACAGAAATAAAGGAAGATAGACTGAACAAAGCAGAAAGAATGACTCGGTTTGCTTACGCCTGAGCCTACAGCAATACACCAGAGTAAAAGGCCTGCTTCCTCACTCCTGGACCAGCCATCACACATGTGCACTGCCCCGATGCTCCTCTCCCAGGTGACATTATCAGGTGCTTTAAATCCACTGCTCCTCTCCCTCCCTCATACACAAAAAGTCAACTCCAAAGTCATACTCTCTACATCACTCTACTCTGATCAGGTAGGCCTGGTCTTGGCTGCTTGCTTCCTGGGCAGTTTCTGGGAGCTTCTACTACTCTGTCTACACCCGAACAAAGTGCCTAATTGAGGGTATTCCAATGAGCTAAGGAGCAAAGTCTGGTTTGCTCTGGGGAAGCAGTCACTGCCTTTAGGAAAAAGTCCAAATTCTTGGTACTCGAAGTGCTGTACAGTTTGGTCCCAACCTATCCGGAAACTCCCCTCCCCCTCCTCCTCCCCCTACTCCCTACCCAGAAGCCTGAGATCTGAGGCAGACTAGTCTGTTCTGCTCCCTAGATTAACCTCTCCTATTTCTGTGTTGATTCAGTGTTGATTCTCCCTTCAGTGGCAGCTTCCTCCCCCAATTTGTGTAAATTTTTAAACATTTAATTTTAATTCCAGTGTAATTAACATACAGTGTTATATTAGTTTCAGGTGTTCCATAAAGCAATTCGGTGAGTCCATATATTACTCAGTGCTCATCAAGGTAAGTGTGCTTCCAACCCCTTTACCTATTCAACCATCCCCCCGCCCACCTCCCCTCTGGGAACCATCAACTTATTGTCTATAGTTGAGAGTCTGTTTTTTGGTTTGTCCTTTTTTTTTTTTTTTTTTTTTTAAGGTTCTGTCCCTGGTAAAGATTTCACTGTTGACCCCATCTCACAGCAATTTTCCCTTGCTCTGAATTCTCATCACACTTCTCATACAAACTAGCACTTTCCAAGAAAAAAATGAAATGCAAGCCACGTGTTTAAATTTTCTAGTAGCCACATTGAAAAAGGTAAAAGGAACAGGCAAAATTAATTTCAATCATGTAAATAATCCAATAATACAGAATATTAACATTTTTCAATATAAAAATATTAATGAGATACTTTGCATTCCTTATTTCATACTTAATCTCCAAAGTCTGGTGTGCAATTGACATTTTCAGGAAATCTCCATTTGGACAAGGCACACTTCAAGTGCTAGTCTCCATTTGGATAGCCTCATGTGGCTAGCGGCTACCCTATTGGACAGCGCAGATCTAGACCACTCATTTAACACTTTTCACTTCCTGCCTTTTACTGTTAGTCATATTGGTTTTGTGTGTCTTTATTCAACTGTTGAGTGCCTGCTATACAAAGCAGACTTTGTTCTCTTCTTCCTTTTAAGGACCTCACTCCAGGACTCCCTCAGCAGCTTTCAAACTGATCTTATGACACATTTATCCTCTTAAAATTGTTGACAACTCCAAAGAATTTCGGTGTTATTATTATGTATTAAAGTCCTATTTACTGTATTAAAATTTAACCTGAGAATAAAATTAAAATGTTTATTCGTGGGAAATTATAATCATAAACCCATTATGTGTTAAACTTCTTTAAATATTTATTTATTTATTTATTTATTTATTTATTTATTTAGATTGGGGGAAGGGCAGAGAAAGAGGGAGAGAGAGAATCCCAAACAGGCTCTATGCAGTCAGCGCAGAGCCAGATGTGTGTCTCCATCCCATGAACCATGAGACCATGACCTGAGCCGAAAACAAGAGTCAGACTCTTAACTGACTGAGCCACCCAGGCTCCTGTGTTAAACGTTTTTAAAATTAAAAACAAGTATATTTCCAATATAAAAAAAAATTAGTGAGGGGGCACCTGGCTGGCTGGGTCAGTGGAGCATGCAATTTGTTGATCTCGGGGTTGTGTGTTTGAGCCCCATGTTCGGTGTAGAGATTACTTAAAAGTAAATCTTTAAGGGATCCCTGGGTGGTTCAGTCATTGACTGAAGTCATCTGACTTCAACTCAGGTCATGATTTCACAGTTCATGAGTTCGAGCCCTACATCTGGCTCACTGCTGTCAGCTCAGAGCCTGCTTCGGATCCTCTGTCCCCCTCTGTCAGCCTTTCCCCTGCTTGTTCTCTCTCTCTCAAAATAAAATAAACATTTAAAAATATTTAAAAAAAATAAAATCTTTAAAAAAAGTAGTGAGAACGAGTGGCATTGATTTACATTTTGAAAATCTGTAATGTACGGCTTGAGAAAAGACTGGATTCTTATATCTGCTTTTGCATTTTATCTTTTGCAAGATATTGTTTTGGTTGATGTATTTGAAGAAAAACTGGACTCGCACAGTTACGTAATTGGAAAAGGAAGAGCATTTTAATAGCCTTTTCAGATAAGCCTTCTTTGATGCCACAAAACTCAACAAGTAGTAATTTTTTAAGGATTGGTTGCACTGTGGGATGTGAAACTCTATCGACCAACTTTACATATACTGTTACGTGAAAATCTGTTAATATATCTTCTAGTTCAAATAGAACTTTACTCACACATGATTTTGTAATATCACACATTAGTTATTTGGAAAACATGAGTCCACTAAATTACACATCCTGTAAATGCTGACACACTTCATCATACAAATCAAAATCATATTAGCTAATACCACCACTGATCTCATTAGAAAAGTATTATTTATTTTTGAGGGAGAGAGAGAAAGCACGCGCCTGTGCATGCACAAGTAGGGGAAGGGCAGAGAGAGAGAGAGAGAGAGGGAGACACAGAATCCAAAGCAGGTTACAGGCTCCGAACCCGTAAACTGTGGGATCGTGACCTGAGCTGAAGTCGGATGCTCAACCGACTGAGCCACCCAGGTGCCCCTGGAAAGGCATTTTTAAGTATTTGGAAGTTGTAAGGTTCATAGCAAGGATACAAGTTTTCCAAATTCTAGTTTTTGCTTGAGAACTCTAATTTTATTATTGGAAACAGACATTGCCAATTGTTTTCCCTGAAATGATGGTCACACTTTGTTCATTTTCAGGATAACGTCTTCCAAATACCCTAGTTTGAACAACCACTTGTCAAGTCATTCTTCCAAGTAGAAATGATGTTCTACGACAATCACACAAGTGCTTTTCCTTGAGATGATCATCATGCCTTAACATGTGTACTTCTCATTCTATGACAGAATATTAAGGAGACATTAATTTAAAATTTAATAAAATTAATTTTCCCACTTCACTGAGAACATTATTAAGTCAAACTGGTATTTAAACATTTTTAAGTGTTTGGTGCTAAAGAGTACAATGACTTCTAGAATAATACGGCATCACTGCCTTGGTTCATGCTAAGGCACTGGCATTACCCACCATTGCTTTGGTACCATTAGTGCCAATGTCAACAGAGTGAAAAAGCAAAACATTATTGTTATAAAAAGTTTTATTTTCAGATTTCTTTAAAAAAAAAAGTCTTAGGACCTACGCCCGGGAGTCCACAAGACAACATTTTTGAAACCTCTCCTCTGCCCACCGTATCCTATCTACCATAGTCAGTTTACCCAGTAGTATATTATGAGGGAATCTGCCCAGATGAACGCTTTATTTCTTGGTTAAAGCATCTGCCTTAAACCTCTGTCTGCCTTCCTGTCTCATGAACTGAGCCAGGCTTCTGAGAACAGATTCTTGATGTCTACTTCTTTCTTAGAATCAAGTCTAAATAGCCACGTCACAGTATTTTGGCCCTACATCTACCCTGGCTTCATCATTCCCAGAGAGCCGGGGAAGAGAAAGAAAACCAAACAAAAGCACCCTAAACTGAAATCCCTAGTTTACCAAACTCAAAGGCCACCACAGATTCCACTCCCCCATATAACTGATGCCTCAATTGTCCTACTTAGAAGCCCCACTTCTAATTTTTTTCTTGCCCCATCTTAACAAGGAGATATCAGATTATACACTTGCAGAAAAATAGATTCTAGTTCTGATTGTGCCACTTCCGAGCTGTACAAAGTCAGATCAGCTACCTAATGTCTCTGAGCCCCAAACTCTCTGTAAAAATGGGGATATTACATCCCACATGGAATTGCTGGGAAGATTCAAAGATCTAATAGAAAGAATGAGATGAGAGAAAACACTCAACAATAGCTACTATTAATAGAATAATAATAACCAAGTTGTGAGGAACTTCGAAAGTTATTAGGTTAAGCCTCCTCCTTCCCTTCTCTCCTACTGTATAGATGGGGTTTCAAATGGAGATGAAGAGAGATCAGGTGAGGTGGGCAGGTTCACATGCGTGTATCAGAGTCAGAGAGAATTCAGCCAGTTCTTCTTGACTGCTTTTTCTACCATGTTTAAGTAGAGCTGCTTGTTTAGGAGTTAGCAAGAGAAGAGAAGGTGATATCACTGTCCCTGCTGCAAGTTATAACCCAGATCCACCTTCTCCCAATTTTTGTACAAAGAATAAAACATTTGTTGGTTTTCATTTTTGTGGAAGCACCTTCCCTGTCCTGCCCAAGCTTCTCTAACGTGTCCTAGGAAAACCAGTGTGAGTTAGAGTTTGATGTTGGAGAGAGGGCACATGGCCATACAGAAGGACATACTGAGTCTTCAAATCAGTGGTACAGCAAAGATAACTGGGACAAGGCAGTCTGGTGTGTCTTACCAGCTCATCTGTATGCAGTTTCCTCAAGCTCCATCAGAATAGGGACAACGTCTCTCATACAAAAGACTTTAAATACCTATCCTCTTAGTTTGCTCAAGTCCAGTTTCCAATGACTGTGCTCTCCCTCTACTGCCATCTCAGGAGCATTACAATTTATAAAGGACAACATTCTTTCCAATAATAATAGGACTTTTTCAGCTATAACTCCATGCAAGACAAAGTGCTGAGATTTACATGCATAATTTACCCAATTGTCAAATGCCCCATAGTATTAAGTATCATTCTTATTTCCAATTGACAAAGAAATTAGGCTTAATGAGGCTCAAGGACCTGGTCAACGGTAATCAGATGGTAAGGTGTGGGTTCTGGAGTCAAACTTAGGATTCTCTGGCTCCAGAAACATTTGTGACCATTTGTCTTTGCTAAAAATCTTATCTGCTCGTACAAGAAAAGTAATAAATTTCTCAGAAACCTATTGAGGAAGTTAGTTGAAGGATCTAAACACAAGTTCCAAAATAGAGAGGCTCATTGTAAAGGCTATTAATTAAAGATGAGGCATATTCTCTGATTTTCCAGCTTTCCCTGGGAACATATGGACAGTTAGCCATGCATTTAAAAGTCCTGGGTGTGTCAGGATGGTGGCCACATTGCCAACAGAGTTCCAAATCATTTAGCAAATTATGTGGCTCTATAACATCTTGTTTCTATTGTACATAAGGTGACTGTTTCTGCTGAGTCACAAATTAGAAAATGAGGTCCAACAGAAGGCTAGGATATTTGAAGTATAGACTCGTCCAAAAAAAATTCCATGTTTCTGGTCAGTTAAATAACCCTTAACTGCCCTATTCCATTTAATGTATTTTTCATGTATTGGTCTCTCTCAGAATTGAATATTTAGAGCATCAGACCTAAATGTAATTTTTCTTTGTATTACAGTGCCTGGCATAGAGCAGCTATTTAAGAAATATTTACTGAACTGACAGAGGGCTGAAGGAGTGCCCCTTTACCTTCGTCGGTCCTGAGGAGGGCTTTTTCAGAAGACTTGCCTCGTCCAGGCACTTCATTCTCACTAAGGTTGTCACTACCCTTGATAGTTATAATAATATCTCACATTTATAGGTTTATAAATGGTTATATAAAGTTTATATTATGATTTGATGTACATCAATTCTGTCTAAACACCAAGTTGAAGAGGGTAGAGGAGGTTATTTTTCCATCTCTCTCTCAAATATTTTCGGGAGAGGACTATCTTTGCTTAGGAAGATAATTTGGTTAAGCTGCTTGGGATAGTAAGAAAAAGTGAAAAAGACAGCTAAATATGCTCTATTTAAAGACAAATAGAAACTGGGAATGTGGAGCAGATAGCAGAGAAAAGAAGAAAGGAAGGAAAAGAAAAAGATACAAAGGGAGCTAAAGAGGAGGAGAGAGTGGGAGAGATAAGAAAACATGGCACAAAACTTGCAAAGAATGAAGGGGCTCAGTATAAAATCTCTGCTGGTGCAATCTAATGACATGTCTAATGATTTATATCAAATTACATTCTGTCTTTGTTGCATACTTCCTCCTCCCTCCTCAGTCTTCAAGAATGACTGGTATGGTTTTTACTGTGGTCATATTGAAGGAAATGAAAGAAAGAAAGGAGTATTAAAAAGAGGTGTGGTATATCTTTCCATTTACATAAGTCTTATTTGTTTTTTTTCATTAATGTTTTGTATAAAAATCCTAAACAGTTTTTGTTAGATTTATATCAAATTACTTTTTATGGCTTTTAAAATTTCAAATTCCAGTTGTTCATTGCAACTAATTTTTGCATACTGACAGTGTATCCTGTGACCTTGCTAAACTCCTCTATTAGTTACAGAATGTTTTTGTAGATTCTTTGGAATTGTCAGCATACACAATCACATTATCTGTGAATAAAGACTGTTTTTTTCCCCTTTGTAATCTGTATGTCCTTCATTTATTTTTCTTGTCTTATTACCTTATCTAGTACTTCCAGTGCATTGTCAAATAGGAGTGATGAGAGAAGACATCTTTGACTTGTCCTTGATCTTTGGAGGAAGTCATTCAGTCTCTTACCATGAAGTATGTTAACTGTAAGTTTTTCAAATATACCCTTTAATATATTAAGGGTATAAGGTTAAGGAGTTCACTTCTATTCCTTGTTTGTTTTTGTTTTTGTTTTTTTCTTTTGATAATTTTTTTCATGAATGAATGTGGAAATAGAGGGATTTTTTTGCATCTGTTGATATGACCATATGTATTTTTTCTTGTTTAGTCTGGTAGTCTGATGAATTACATTCATTTTCAAATGTTAAACTAGTCTCAGTTTCTTGGAATAAACCCCATTTTGTTGTGATGTATATTCCTTTGTATATATTGCCAGATTTAATTTGCTATTATTTTACAAGGATTTTCAGCTCTATTTTTATGAGATATTGGTCCATAACTTTCTTTTCTTATAATGTCTGTGTTTTATTTCATTATTAAAGTAATACTGGTCTCAGAATAGGTTAAGAAGTGTTTCCTCCTCTTCAATTTTCTAGAAGAGATTATGTAGAGTTTGTATTATTTCTTCCTTAAATTTGAACCATAGATCATGACCTGAGCTGAAGTTGGATACTTAACCAACTGAACCACCCAGGTGTCCCCTATTTCTTACTAAAATTTGAAAGAATTCACCAATAAAACTATGTCTCCCTGGAATTTTCTTAGTGGAAAATTTTTACTCCACAAGTTCAATTTCTTTTTTTCTTATTGAGGTATAGCTGGCATATAGCATTATATTAGTTTCAGGTGTACAACATAATGATTTGATATTTGTATATATTGCTAAACAATCATCACAATAAGTTTGGTTAACATTCATCCCCATGAATAGTTACAATTTTTTTTTCTTGCAATGAGGACTTTTAGGATCTACCCTCTCAATTTCTGTATTAGACATAAAACTGTTCTGGATACCTAGTTTGTATCATTCAAAGAATTTGTTCATCTGTTATATTTGTAGGCATAAAGTTGTTAAAAATATTCTCTTCTTATTATTTTAATTATGATCTATAGTAATGTCACCTCTCTCAATCCTGATATTGGTAATTTGTATCTTTTCTTTTTTCCAGGACAATCTGACTAGAAGTTTATCAATTTTATTGATCTGAAAAAACAAGCTTTAGGTTTCATTGATTCTCTATATTGCTTTTCTGCTTTCTGCTTCATTGATTTCTGCTCTTGCCTTTATTATTTCCTTCTGCTAACTTTGGTTTCAATTTGCTTTTCTTTTTCGTGTGTCTTAAGGTAGAAGCTTAGGTCATTGATTTTTCTAAGATAAACATATATGTTTCCCCTTTCCCATTGCTTTAGCTGTATCCCACAAACTTTGATATATTATAGTTTAATTCTCATTTTGTTCAAAATACTTTCTAATTTCCCTGTGATTTCTTCTATGATGTATGCATTTGTTTTGTTTTGCTTTAGATCTGTGTCATTTAGTTTCCAAATATTTGGAGACTTTTCTAGATATCTTTTTATTATTTATTTTAACTTAATTCCATTGTGGTTAGGGAATTTTTTTAACTTGAGTTATTTTAAATTTATTGATTCTTTTTTTTTAGTGACATAATATGGCCTATCTTGGTCAATGTTTAGGGTTCACTTAAAAGAATGTGTTCTCTGTAGCTGTTGGGAGGAGTGTTCTGTCAATATCCATTAGGTAAAGTTGGTTGATAGTGGTATTCAACTCTTGTATTTCACTCCAGATTTTCAGCCTATTTCTTCAGTTGTTATTATCAGAGGAGTGTCAAAATCTTCAGCCATAATTCTGCATTTTCCTCCAGTTCTGTCACATTTTGTTTCATGTATTCTGAGGCTTTATGTTTAGGTGCATAAACATTTAGGATTCTCTTGCCCAATTGATGATTTTTCCCTTCATGATTATGAAATGACCCTTTTTATCTGGGATAAATATTTTTTGCTCTGAAGTTGACTTCATTTTATATTTATATATCCACTTCAGCTTTCTTTGATTCATGTCAGAATGGTATATTCGTTTCCAGATATTTTAACGTATTTATTTTATATTCGAAGTGGGCTTCCCATTGGTAGCGAATAATTGGTCTTGCTTTTTTACTCAATTTGACAATTTCCCCGCTCTGCCTGTCGATAGCATGTACTAAGCGCTGCGTGAGCTAAGTTGTTCCCCCCACTCTTCTCGAGTGGTTTTATTCCCCTAACTGTGGGTAGTTCCCTCACACACATGCACTGATCAGTAACTGAAGAATCAAGGGGAGTGTTCAGCAGTCTCCTATCTGGTGCTCTGCCCTGTGAATTTTGGCCATCTTGGTCTCCCCAAATTCTCAACTCTGTCTTCTCATCTTGGGAGACTGCCAGGGTCTGTTTGAGTTCCCGCTTTCTGTGTTGCATCCTGGAAACGTTCTCCAGAAAATAAGATGGAGCAGAAAGATGTCTCATTTCTTCGCTTCTTCCAGGGATCATTCTCTTGCACTGCTTCTGTTTGCCAATGCCTGAAAACCCATTGTTTCGTATGTGTATTTTTTCTTTTTCTGTTAAGGGAGGAGGATAAACCGACCCCTGGAAGGGCTGCCAGATTTAATAAAACAAGACTCTCAGTTAAATCTGAATGTCAAATCAACAGCAAGTACTTGTTTAGTATATGTATGACCCATAGTTATAGTATAAGTATGCCTGAAATTCAAATTTAATGGGTCTTCTTGGATTTTATCTGGCAACCCTAATCCCTGTTCAATCCATCATGTTCAAAGCAGAAGTCCCCAGATGCTCTTTTAAGTGCCAGAGCTATATACTTGTTTGGAAATCCATTCAATTCAGTATGAAATATTTACTGAACTGCTACAGTGTGCTTATCACAATGAGAATGATTCTAGGTCAGAATCTTCTTGAAGATACATCACATTGGCAGAGAAGACAAAATAAGGATATGAAACTATAAGTGCTCAGTTGACCTACAGTACTAAGCACAAATGTCACAGGAATTCAGAAACGTTAAAGGCTAAAATGAACTGAAGAAGTCCGAAAATACGGAGATGTGGTTAACAGAAAGAGTGAAGAATTAAAGAATTGTATTCGGTCAGGGGAAAGGGCAAGGATGTGCTACCTGCCTAAAGAAGGTAAGACTGGCAGCCTTCCAGAGAGTGAGGAAAATAACCTGAACAAAAGATGCTTTGGGCAAGTCATGATAAACAAGGTTAATTGGTACCAGGACATTTAGGAACAGTTGTTCGGTTTGTTCATTGCAAGGGAGCCTGGTTGGGAGGATGAGTGAGGACTGAAGTCTGAACTGCTCCAGTTCCCAGGACATGAGCCTCTATGCAGGGCCTCATCCAATGAGAGAAAGGGACGCTTTTTTCTTTTTTTAAATTTTTTTTTTCAACGTTTATTTATTTTTGGGACAGAGAGAGACAGAGCATGAACGGGGGAGGGGCAGAGAGAGAGGGAGACACAGAATCGGAAACAGGCTCCAGGCTCCGAGCCATCAGCCCAGAGCCTGACGCGGGGCTCGAACTCACGGACCGTGAGATCGTGACCTGGCTGAAGTCGGACGCTTAACCGACTGCGCCACCCAGGCACCCCATGGGACGCTTTTTTCTAATGCTAAGCTGCTTTGTGGGACATTTAAGGTTCCCTAGGTGGGAACTTCAGTATCTCCCTTCTGAGTAGTCACAGTACGTCTATACCTGTGATCCAGATTCTCCCATGTTGGAATCACTGTGAGGAAAAGTGGGTGGAGATGTTACAAGGTGCAGCATCTCTGAGCTACAAACATTGTTCTACTGGGCTACTGTGGAATAAAAAGAGTGGGAAGGGACAAAATGAAATTTAATTTCATAGTTTGAAGGAGCAAAGTAGGTAAGCAAGATTGGAGCTGATAGGGTTTTGGATAGAACCCCTCTGAAGTTCAATATCAGCGCTGTGTAGTCTGTCTATTAGCAGAAGGTTATCCAATGAAGAATGGCCCTAAATTCAGTGTTGTAAATTCAAAGGCCTCCTGGAACAGGTAGTTAATGGACTTGTGGAGAACCTTTCTAACAGGCACCTGAAAATCTTTTTTCTCTGGAAAATCTTTCAGGAGGAGCTGCAAATCAAGACTTTTAGGGAAAATGGAATCTCAATTTTGGCATAATATTTAAAATATATACCTCTCTATGTATATCTCACAAAGCACAGTGTAGACTTACACTGTTCCAAACAGATAATGCAGATCTGTAGACGTGAATGTTACTGGTGCACTTTCTCTGTTCTAAAGCAGTATTTCCGGGGAGCCTGGGTGGCTCAGTCCATTGAGCATCCAACTCTCGATTTCGGCTCAGGTCATGACCCCAGGGTCATGAGATCAAGCCCTGCGTCTGGCTCCACACTGAGCTTAGAGCCTAAGAGTCTCTCTCTCTCTCTTTCTCTATCCATCTCTCCCCCCTTCTCTCTTTCAAATAAAATAAATAAATAAACAAAAAATAAAATAAAAATAAAGCTGTGTTTCCTAGCTCTAACCATGGTACACACTAGCTCCATGACCTCCCCCAAAAAAGAAGAGAAAGAGAAGGGGGAAACAGAGGAGAACCAAGGCAGACATTACTCTATATATCAAGACAGGATGAATGCAAATATTTTGGAAGCCGTAAA